CTCTTCTTGCCAAGTTTGTGGCTGATGATGTGATCGAGCTTCTATCACTTTGCACGTTCCCACTTCTTGATGAACTATCAGTCTTACCTCTGAACGAGCTTCTTCCTCCGGAAGAAGAAGAAGAAGCAGCAGCATTGAAATACCCTCTTTCCCAGTTATCACGGATCAATTTCTTCACACAACAAACATGGTACTTATAGTTTCCAAAAAAGGACTTGTAGTACCACGCTCTGAACGGCACTTTGTTTTTTTTTCTTGCAGATCCTTCCTCTGGCATTTCACACAACAGTTGAAAATGGGGGGTATTCTGCTACTAAGAATCAGCGTCATCCTGAAATATCGATCACACACGGTGATCTTAAGGTTCATGCAACAGGGGTGCAAGTGAAACTTGTGAATGGATTGATCATGATACATGAAACCTCGTACGTCCATCCCACAAGCACGACACAACCGGCGGTTCGGTCCGCCGGGAGGTTCCCAAAGAAACCGGAATTTGCTGCTGCCCATTAATGAATGAGTTCTGGGTGGGTCCGTAGGGCGAGCCTTGAAACAGTCCTCGTGAAGAACGAAGTGACAATCCTTTGAACATTGGTACCTGGGGCCAAACCCCAGTTCTTTGCATCCACTGCACTCAAATGGGTTTGCTTTGCCACGTTTCAAACTCAATGGGTGGTCATGCCGTGGGTGATTCATTGTATCGTCGCTCCGAAATCACTCTCTATTTGTCACCGATAATTAATGAGCTTCTACCTTCAGGCTTTCATCATCTGGTTCTTGATGAGCTTATATATATAGTGTTACTTCTGGTCAACCACGGCATCTCGAGCTTATCTCTCTTTTCATACTGTTTGGTGCTCAATATTTTTCTCAGTTTTTCAGTTTACTAGCTAATCAACGCACATGTTCATTCTTTAATTAATGTATTACATGCTTTGATAATACGATGCAAGTCGGTGCCGATGATGCCAACAAGTTTCTTCGGATGCAAATACACTAGCTACTGATCTGTCGCATTTTCACCTTATCACTTCTAAGCAATTATATAGTGGACCAAGAAAATATAGGGGCAGTTACCTATAGATCTCAGATTTAAAAAAAAAAAATTTAAAGGGTTAGGGTGTAAATCTACCTTTTGTTATTGGCACCTGACATAAACTTTCCTTCAGTGGGAATTAAATACAATATGATAGTTTGAGTAATATGAGTAATTAAATAGGAGTGTAATGAAAAATTAACAAAAAAATTTGAAACAACCTCTAAATATCTCTTATAAAAATAGAAAGATGATACCCAATAAAGAATCTTTTATAAAAAGGAATGGAGATGCCAACAACATTCTTTAGATTAAAATACACTACTTTTCACCCAAAAAAAAAAAAAAGACAATACACTACTGATCCGTCATGCCTTATAGAATTATCAGATTAAAGAAGCATTTGTTCCCTGTCATCTCTTTGGTGGTTTCACTTCTAATCATATAAATATATATATCGCTGACGAGGGAAAAATATGTAATTGACTGTGCCAGTCTTTGTTTAGGCTCTCTTTGCAAATCAACTACCCAAAATACGGGGTTGCGCCAGCTTGTAGCCCATGCGTTTAAGGAAGCAAGTCAGTCAATTATCATAAACTATAACGCCCCTTACTTTAGACTCTATACGCATATGTTTAAGGAAACAAGTCAGTATAGTAAGCTATCATTCCACTTACTTAGACTACTCTATATTGTGTGTGTGTGTGTGTAAAACGTCGATTTACCTAAAATTCTTGTATTTTCAGTTTTAGATCGTTCAATTAAAAATACTTTGTTTCTCCTGCTACAGTCCTATATATCATTTGTGCTTAGATTTCTTTTCATTTAATCTCACATTCCTCCTTCCTAAGGACTTCTCACCCTTCCCCTCAGCATATCTTCTTATTTTTAATAACCCTTGGGGCGACCGATATTCGACGCTTTTTTCGAATCCTATAACCAAGTATCTGATTAACTGATTAACTCGACTCAAGGCTTTGCGATCAGAATGCCTCTTCCCAGGGGTCTTTTTTAACAAAGTGGGATTCATTTATACTCATTTCGCCTACTTTGTGATCTAGCTGGTCCACCATTAAACTAAGTACCTTGAGCCTTTCCTCTGCACATCTTGCCATTGCATTCAGGTAGTTATGTATTACAGTTTTAATATTTCATTTATCTGATTTTCTATTTATGGATTCCAACGTATAAATAATTAAAATGGGGCATTTTGTCATTTCCTTTGAATTTCAAACTTTCAATTTGGATTTACCTCCTTCTTCATCATTTTGAAGTGTTAGGTGCCTAAATTAAAAAAAAATACTAATTTCAGGATTTTTGCTCTGGAATTTTTCGTAACCATAAATTATGTTTCTTTTCCACTTACTTCGTCATTATTATTTCATTTAATTGATTTACTGACATGTAGTTAAAAAGCTTACCGTTAAAATGAGAGAGATTTTGTAGCTGGTCTATAGTTATGATCACTTTCCTCACCCCACTTGCTGATGCCTCCTTGTTTCAAATGGATTCTATTACCAATCTCTTAATTCAATATATATATATATATATATATATATATGTAACCAAAGGGTTTAAGGTTATATAAATGTGTGCGCGCGCATAATTTGAGTTGAAGTTTTCTATTTTAAATGGGTTTAAAAGAGCTTTTTATCCCGAAAAGCTATGGATTTTCGGATTTTTTTTTTTTTTGGAGTAATGTTACCCAGGTTATGAAAATGTAGTAATGTCAACCTGTCCTAACAGACTCTAACGGTCCACCATCATCTAAGCCAACGCCACTCTTCCTCCTGCATTAAAGATCTCGATCATCACCACTCTCCCTCCTGCCTTCTTAGCCTTCTCGTTCTTGTTCTGAAACATTTTGCAGAAAATTTCCCGTTATTCTTCCATTGACTCCTACCGTCTCCTTTTTGTTTGGTGAGGATGTTGATTAAGCTTTGTGTTCTATTGATCTGGCTTTGGGCAATTGCTAATTGTTAATTTTTTTGTTCATTGTTCATCTTCCCCGGCTTTCGATCGGTGTTCTCTATTTTCTTCCAGATTGGTTTTTTTTTTTTTTAAAGAGATTGGTTAAGGGCATTTGGGAAGAAGCTTGGGGTCCGCCTTTTTTTTCCCTCTTGTTTTCTTTTTTGCAACTGAGAAGTCATTAGGAGATTCTCACTTTTGTTTTTGCAATTTCTGTTGACCATATATAAAATTAATTCCATTTGCCATCCCATTCAAACATTTACTCTCCGGTGAGCTTATTTCCGCCATTGGAGTAGGTTTTAATGTTACTTGTTAAATGGTAAATGATAAATTATGCATAACATAGTACCATTTGGGTGTTTCCAAGGTGTTGCTTGTTCAAAAAATGGATAACAAGATTTAAAAATCGGTTGGTTTGGCGGTGGGATTTTCTTGCACTTTTCAACGAAAGAGCTTGGAAACCTTTTGGCCTCTGTGAACGGACGCTGTGAAAAGGAGGAGGGAGATGAAGGGGAGTAAACAAGAAAAAGAAGCGGGTGCAGTTGAAGATCGGCTCGATATCATCTACTACGGTGCGTTCAATCTGATTCTTACATTTTTTTTTTGTTCAGTGAGGATGATGACGACGACATGACTTATTAGGTAGCATAACATGTGGGATAATATTCTACATGTCAAAGCCAGCTTAGCCGTAATTGAGTCAACTAACGGTTGACAGTTTGAGTCTGTTAGGGCAAGACGAGATTGCTATGTTTTTACAATTTTTAGGATGACATTGTTCCCTAAAAAAAAAATTTCTAGATACTACCCATAACTCTTTAGTTTTGTGAAAACTTCCCAAGCAAAGATGTCGTTTAACCGATTTTAAATCACACTGAATAGGAAAGAGAAATGACTTTTTCATGAAACCAATTTTCACGTTTTGTCTGGATTATAATAATAAAATAAAAATTGAAAAAACAACTAATTTAAAGAGACAAATATTCTTAATCTTACAGATAGAAACTAGAATTTTTGAAAGAAAAATAAGGAGGAAAGGACGCCGCTCTGCATCTGGTGAATAAGGTTGGAGCGAAGGGAAAATTGTTGACAAGGAGAGCGGATTTGAAAAAGAAAAAGACGAAGAGGAAAACATGACGGAGGGGAGAGAAGCGAGGCAAAAAGATGGAAACTAAAATTTTTGAAAGAAAAATACAGATAAGCTTGCACGTGAAATTTGATTTATTGATGTGATGTATTTTCATTTGTCAGAGCAAATGATGTGGTGCTCTTCAAGCACATTTTTATAAGAGGAAAAGGTCTAAACATTAAATATATTTTTATTTTTCATTTTTAATTAATATTCTCTCTCTCTCTCCATCCCTTTCCCATACATTCTGTGTTTTTTTTCCCACTTCATTTTCATCTACCCATTTATAAATAAAAACATATTTAACAAAAAAATATTTTCTAAGTATGTGGTACTTTTAACTAATTTTAACAATTTTTTTTAAACCATACAATTCAATTATTTAGATTTTATCAAAAAAAAGAGAGTACATTTTTCAAATTTTACTCACTTATTGGCAGTACACAGTGAATATAAAGAAAGATGAGAAAGGTGAGATACATTTGAAGAGGCAGAGTTAAAAAATTCTTTCAATTCAAGACAGATTTAATGAGCTAACCAGTCTTTGGTTTCAGTGAGGTGATTGAAAGTAACTCGTTTTGGATAAGAGGGAGTGTCAAACAACCTGGATCATAAATTCAGAACCTAAGCGTCCTATTGGGAAAGCAAGCTGTATTTATCCTTGCATGTGGATATCCCATAAAAATGGTTACAATATCCACACTGTTCCATCAATAAGACTGGCCACCATGCGTTGTTATTAATCATTTTTATGTATTCTAGTTGTGAGTGATAATCCAGAATGATTCGAATCAAGAAAGCAAAAGTAAGACGCTGCCTCTATTCGGAGACAGATATATAAATAAATAAAATGGCAGCACTCAATAGGACATACAAACTTGGATTTAAATTAAAGCCGAATATGGGTTACAAGGTTTAACATATTTGAGTTTTGATGCTTGTAAATAAATCTGTTTGTGTCTAAGACCAAAACTAACTCAAGGTATTGTTAAGATTTCTTGGCCTCTTTCCCTTCTCTTTTCATGTTTTCTAGTGATACATGAAGCTGCTGTTTCTTGGGCATTAGACAGTTGCCAAGCTGCAAAATAATGCGAAAGCCCTCTGCAAGAAAGACCCAGCAATCAAATAATCAAACACAAGCGACTAAGATATAAAATTATATATTTATTTATAGGTCTACCATGCGTTTAAACAGATTTGGATTCTCTCCTCATCCATTTTCCTCTTTCTCTCATTCCCACTGTTGGATTGAAAAATGAACAGCTAAGCTTCATTATTTTATGAAACTAATTTTTCTATTGTCACGTAGTCTATACTTAAATATCCAGATCAAATTTTAACAGTCTAAAATATAATCTTTCGGATATTGTAATATAATTTTATAAGATATTAAATTTCAACCGTTCAAATTTAATCTAAAGATGAAGATGGGATGAGGAGAAGAAAATGAGAGGAAGGATGAGTAGAGTATCCAGATCTGTGTTTAAACATAACTAAAAAGTTCAATTCTAGAAATTAAATTATTAAATTAAAAACATAAAAAAACCGTTTCCTGGTAATGCAGTCTGGCATGTGTCCAAAACAATAAAGTTAGATGATTTTTTTAAAGTCTTGCTACTCTTCATAATTTCAGTTGTGTAATTTCTTTGTGAAAGAAGAGAAGTTACCTGGGAAAACAAAATACATACAAGAGAGAATTCCCCTGCTACTTTCAACTTCAGGATTCCTCTTTAATTCTTTGTTTCTTTGGCTTTTTCGCGTGTGCATTGTCCAAGAAAATTGGTTCCTCAACCATAGCGTTTTGCTCTAAAATTAGCGATTCTCCCTCATTTTCTCTCTTCTTCTTTGCACTTCTGTATTAGATTATGCTAGAATCATGTCCAAAAATATCCCCTATGCCAGTAATATTATTAGTCCAAAAATGAGTTGAAGTGAGTGGGGTAAAAGGAACCTGTCACTTTGGGGAACATCTTCCAAGTTCTTATCTAACCAATGAATGCCGCCTGTGGTATCTAGCTTCAGGGATCCAAAAACATGAAGTATTTCCTCATCAAAGCTGCAGAGTCGAATCATTGATGGGAGTCATGTGATGAGCAATTTGCCAGGCGAAACTTTGACACATTTAGGAAATACATAACCATAGGTATGATCTAATATCTGAATTCAGGAAGCTAGAGAACAAATGTAATGAACAACAGCAAATCATGTCACAAAGTTGCAATAGCAGCAGACATATCAAGCATCTTCAAGAAGGAGACCTCTGCGAGAAAAATATGAAAATATCTAGGACGTGCATGAAACGTTATTCTTACCAGTTGCTGATAAACTAATAAGTGACCAAGGTTCCAAGAAATATTTGCCAGACCAACTGAAAATATATAAATCTAAAAAATAATTCAAAATGTATATTTCATTCTACTTTTTAGATCATACAGTGAGGTCAATTCACTTTCTAACTCATTTTAAGAAAATTGAGATCTGCTAAGTTGTAAATTTTTTGTTAAGAGTAATAAATTAATTTACCGAATAACTACCACCACTCTGTTATAGTTCAATCATGCTTAGAAATTATTAAATAGCTACCCACTTTCTCAGACCATGACAAATTGTTTTCATTTTCATGGTTCATTGTTGGATCACGACATCAAAAGGTCTTGGAAACAAATAAACATAGGAAAATACTCAATCAGTAATGCCAATAAGGGAAAAATGTCATTGACTCAGTCCCCAACCACAAAATGTCAGCACATAAACATCAGAAAAAGATGAATAGCTTTTTCACAACATAGACAAAATTACAATCACTTAATTCGTGCACATCATATTATTTATAACTCATTAAATTCCTTAAGTTCCACTGACATTCATTATGCTCTATTCAGGATGCCCGGCACAGAATGCCTAACAAGCAATCAGGAAGGCTTAAACACAAACAGCTAACATCAAGACTGAAAAAATCAATTCCAATTATTTCAGTTATGATGATTTGCAAAGCCTTTACTTCCTAATGGAGACAAAGACACAAAAATATGTCTAGCACACTACATTGAATTGGATTCTGACTGAAAATAGAAATGCATTGAACACAATCTCATTTTAGGTAGCATCAGCACTATCACCTCTTGACTTCAAAGCGTATCATGGTTCCAACCTTTATCACATGCCGCTTGTGCAATCTGCTTATGTACCTACCTTGCCCATGTTTCTATTAGAAACATAAACAGCATGTCGACATCATTGATCAAATCACAATCATAACATTAAGGAGGAAAGACAGAAAGATATTTTAGAATATCATGTTGAGGTACTCACATTTCTGTATGTGAACTCTTCCCTAATGTCCTTGTCAGCTATTACTGCAGAAGAAAAGCCAAGCACAATGGCATGAATGGATTCTTGCGTAAGCTTTACCACCTTCGCTTCTGAAGGAAACAATCAATTGGCCAAATTAGCAACGGAAACATAGGGGTCCAAAAAACACTTAAAGATGTGATTAAACTCTGGAAAAATAAGAACATAATCAATATATGAAACAGAAAAATATGAAGATTAATTTCATTATTTATAGCTTGATACGATCAAGTAACTACAAAATACCAACATTCATGTTTCTTAAATCACAATAAGTGAATCACCTAAAAGCATATTTGGCTTTGGGGAAAAAAGTAACAACTTTGCCTTTAGTGTAACACCAAAATAAGGATGAACTCCAGAAAGAACTTTTGCACATTTCTCAAGGAAGTTGACATCATAGGCTAACACAACTCCATCAAAGATTTCACTGAACCTGCAAGGACAGCACACCAAAATAGCATTACAACAACGTAAGCCCATTGGTATACCAGGTATAATTGAGCCCCGAAATTTTCAAGATACCAAAAAATTAAAATTAAAACTCAAAAGTGAACTTATGGTGCTCCCATGTTTGCAACACGCAGAGTTTGGCAATCCTGTAATTGTCAATTTCCAAATATATAAATGAAACCCATATCAAATTAAACCAAACTCTTTTCTGCACTTGTCTCATCACTAGTTGATAAAACAGGGTAAAAATGCCAGCACCCAACATTGCCGTGAATCTCTTTCTACCCTAGTAAAAATAAAATAATTAGCAGCTACATATAACAGCTAAAACTTTATGAGCAATAATGTCCTTGAAACAGAAAAAATCATAACTGCTTTCATAAATCCTATAAAATCAAAGGAAGGTGAGATAACTTACGTGAAAAGCAAAGTGCTGAGCTCATTGAGAACCGCTTGATGAACTTTGTTACTTTTTGAAGGATGAACATATACGACTAGATTAGCATCTGAAACCTTCAAGCCCTCCATTGCTGCTACTCCTCTTCAGTGAAGCAGAAGCGCAGCAACCCTATGCCCAACAAGACGCTACAAAGATTATGAAAACAATGACAAGAAAAAGAAAAAGAAAAAGAAAACAAAATGAATGAATGACAATAGGAAAGAAAAATATATTTAGACTACAAGTTGGGGATAAGACGTAATTCATAATGAGAACTGAAAAAAGAAAGTAAGGCTACAATTGTGCATGAGGTGGAAAACAAATGAAAAATCTGAAAAGTTGTAGAAATTGGATTTCCTACTTCCAAATAAGAAAAGACTACTCTATACACCCCACCTCTAGAAAACTAAGTGAAAGAGACAAGGTGGATTTTCTCCTCACCCAACATGAAGAAGGAATGCAATTGATTGTTACAGCAAGAGAAGCAAACAAACACAAAAAAGGTACTGGTCAATCTAACATTTACATCAGATTATACACACACACACACATATAGATATATATCTAACACAAAGAAAAGTAACATATATGAGCAGGAAATCTAAATCTAAAATACTAACAATCAAGAATCAACCCACGGGCACGAGCGCACGGCGAGGGGGGAGAAGAAGAAGTGAAGCACGGGGAAGGAGAGGCGAGATGCGAGATGGAGAGGTGAAGGCCGAAGACGCTGGTGGCCTGGCGCGCTGCCGCTGCTGCTCTGCTTCTGCTCTGTCGGGTGTCGCAACTCGCAAGGGAAGGAGAGTCAAGCTGCGTGGTGCGTGGCTGCGTGCCGGTGCTGCCACTCTGCTCTCTGCGTCTGCGACTGGGCGACTGCGAGAAGGACTGAGGGAGGGAGAGGTAAGATCGAGAGGCCGGCCGCCGGGCGTCGTGTGCGCTGAGAGAGAGTGACCGCCCGAAGTAGTAAAGTCCGAAACCAAGCGCGTGCTAGGTTTTTTTTTTTTTCCCCTCCTCTTTTTCAGTTAGGAAAAAAATAATAAATAGATAAGATAACAATTTAATAAGCAAGAAATAAAAAACTGAACCAGACATTAAACCAGTTATGATAGTGATTCAAAAATCAGTTAGTCAGATCGGAATCAAATTAATATCCAACAGGTCATATTAAAATAATATAATTTAATTAAAAATAACAAAATATAACAACATTAATCACATTGAGAATTTTGATCTTTATAGTTTATCATTAACTAAAATTAATAATTATTAATATCAAAATCATTATTAAAATTCATTTAAATGTATAGAAATTAAGAGATATTAAGAGTTGAATAAATAAAAAAGACCAATAACAACATAACCATCCAAACTGTTTCATTACTGGTTCATATTGGTTTTTACCAGTTTTCACCAACTCATTCTGATTTAATTAGTTTGCTACGGATTCAACTCTCCTAGTTTAATATTCAAAACAAACTAGACCATTATCCGAACCACCGATTTTTGATTGAACCGCTAATAAGTGAAAGAGTTTTCAAAATATATATACACAAGCACACCAGTAATCAAGAGCTAGCATGTTTATTTTTCAGCCCCACAAAGACGGTTTTCTTAAACCAAACTTACACTCTAAATTATAAGCTCAGTCTTCAATTTAATAGGTGTTTAAGTAAAAATCAAACCATAATTTTAATAATATTTTTATAGTGTTTTACATTAAAGTGTTTTTTAAATTCATTTTTAATGGTTGCCAGACACCACCTTAGAAGTTAGAAGGGTTTTAACAGCCGGCTGGGCTTCGCCTTCCAGCGCCACCTCACTCTATTGTGTAATACAAGACCATGTCATTTGCTTTTTCTCTTCCAACCCAGAACAAAAACCCAGAAAAAAAAAAATTAAATACCTTTTCGGTCTTTAATATAAGACTTAATTATTAAATTGATTTTGGTCCTAAATATAAGACCTATTTATTATATTTATCAATTTTCTTTAAACTATTCTTATAAATACTCTCTCAACCATAATTAAGTAGAAGAGAAACATGGGGTATTAAGAAAGATAATTATGGTATTTTAGGAAAAACGTATCATATTTCTTATAATTAACTAACTTACCTAATTTTCTTAATTTAATCAAATTAGTTAAATATGTCTTATATTAAAAAGCAGATGAGTACATTTTAACTCCAAACAGAGAAAACTTGAAGTTGTAAAGAAGTGGCGGGGCTCTGTTTTGGATTATAAGGGGCCAGTAGATACCCGGCGCCCCGAAATCTCAAAGACAATAATTTTACAATTTTACATAAGCCGGACTATAAAAGCATATAAGTGGAGTGTTTCCAAGCAATTTCAGAAAGAGTCTGAGCGTCCGAAGACCCTGAAACCGTTGGGTGCTTCCAACGGAAGAAGAAAATTTGCGAAAAGAAAACACCTAAATATCATACCCCACGACGCGGGCAAACTTTGCGCTGATGAAGAAAGATCGGACGCCAAGCCGTACACAAGCAAGTCTGCCAGATACAACCAACAATGAAAAGAGATACCGCTGCCGCCGCTGATGGTTCCTGCACGAAGAACTGGAAGAGGACAAGGTAACCAGCCACTGGCCAGTGTTCAGAGTGAGCTAGTGAAGTGGGTAATTGCTGATTCAGTTGAAGTCCGACTAATCCTCTGCTCAAGAGAGAGGAGGGATTTGCGGGTGGATTGGAGGCTATGTTGAAGAACTACTTGAAGGGTTCAACTAGGGTTTTATTATTTTCCGACTTGTTTCCGTTTATGGATTTCATTGCATAATTCATGATTTCATGTCACAATTCATATCCGTAGATTTTTTTTAGCCAACCATTCACATAGAAATAGTATAAATATATATAATCAATATATCTGTCAAGCGTTTTTCTCAAGGAACAAAAAACCGAACCGGGAGCTAAACCGGTCGAGGCAGTGGATCAAGGGTCACTGGTCGAACCAGAGGTCGGATCGGGTTGGACCGGTCATATTAAAATAATATAATTTAATTCACAATATTAAAATAGAACTGAATTCATAAATAATAATCACTCAAAAAAAAAGATAGAAAGTTACAAAAGTAGTTTAAAGGTTTAATTGTACCAAGCAAATATTAATAAAATTCACATTTTCATCACTATACAAAATCAAAATCATCATTAAGATCATTGGTAGGAGCATGGACTGAGATATCATCAGTTGGGCGAGGAAAAGTAGGAGTAACAATATCATCGTGCAAAAGTGGAGGATCAGCAATGTCCATATCTTCATCACCTATATAAGATAATAATCAATATTAATGATTATGCAAATAGTTATATATTCATCTAAGAATACTAATAGAATCTTAATTATATATATAAACCTTCATTATCCCTCTCAAAAGTTGTTGAATTTGCAGTGCCTTCATTGTTAAGAACACTTTCAATTGTAACCACATCTCTATCATCAAACTCAGGGGTGGAATCTTCTTCAGTCACCCAAAAGTCCACCATGTCAATATTTTCAAAGTCAATTGGATCATAATTTTTCTTCTTCTTCAATGTATTCCTTCAATGACAAATAAAAATTCAATTAAATATAAATCAATTAAAATAGAAGATTAAAAGCATTTAGTATTTCCAAGGGTACCTATGCTTCAATTGCAGATTATAGTTTGTGAAAACCAAATCATTCAGCCTGCTATGTTCCAATCTGTTCCTTTTTTTTGTATGAATTCTCTCAAACAAGGTCCAATTCCTCTCACAACTAGAAGAAGCAAAAGTTTGACTAAGAATACGCATTGCAACGCGTTGTAATTCTGAAACTGAACAACCATAATATGTCCACCACTCATCTGCATAATAAAATACATTTAACATACAATATTATAAAGAACTAGTGAATAACTATGAAAATACTATAAAGTATTAACACTTACAAGGGTCTAATTTTTGTGCAGCTTTTTGACATGAGGGTCTACTGAAAGATTCTTTGCCTTCACGATAAGTAGTTGCTTGTTTCATCACCAGAAAGCCATCAACATCTTCATCTGAATAAGACTCCACCGCATCAATCAAAGCCATCATTAATTTTGACTTGCTAAGACAATCTGGACCATATGTAATTGCAGGGTTTAACAAGTATGATGCTGCATGAACATTGGTTTTCAAATGCCTGTCCCATCGAGCTTGGATAATTCTTGTATAAGGCTTATACATCTCCTCGTTCTTCTTAAACATCTCCTTAATTGCCATTTTTGCTCTTCGCATGCCTTCATAAACATAAGGCAATGAAGGTTTTCATCTGAATCCACAATTCGCAATAATTTTATCAAAGGAGATACAATCTTTACAACTTCATAACAGTCATTCCAAAACCGGTTATCTAATATGATTGCACTAAAAAATTTTCTTGCTTCGGTCTTGGATAATTTGTGGTCCACAAAATGCTTATCAACAACCAAAGCTTACAAGTCATTTTTGTGCATATATATGCTGTGCAATCTAATAAATGTAGTAGCAAATTTTGTGGCACCAGGACGCACAATTTCTTTCCAGCTCGGTCTTTTCCTCAGCCAGGATAAGAAAACCATATGATTGTATGCAAAGATGGTTATTCTTGATGCCTTTGATGCAAGGTCCGACACATGAGGCATACTGGAAAAGTCTTTCAATACAAGATTCAAACAATGAGCAGCACAAGGAGACCAATAAATGCTTTTATACTTTTCCTTAATCAGTTTGCCACATGCTACATAATTGGCTGCATTGTCAATCACTACATGAACGATATTCTTAGGACCAATCCACTCAATGACTTCACAAAATAGTGTAAATAAAGTTTTAGCATCTTTGACTAGATCTGATGCATCAACAGATTTCACAAATAACATACCGTGTGTAGAATACACTAAGAAATTTATCAAAGTGCGTTGTCTAACATCGGTCCATCCATCAGCCATGAGTGTGCAGCCATTGTTTTTCCATTTAGCTCGATGACAATCAATCAGCAATTGACATTCTTTTTTCCAATCACTCAATAAATTGGTTTTGAAATCATAAGCACTAGGGGCTTTAAACCCAGGCCCAATTGAAGCAATTCCATCCACAGCTTTTTGAAATAAAGGGCAATCAAATGCTTTAAATGGAATGCAGTTCACAATAGCCCATTCAGCAATCAACATTTTCACATTATGTTTTGCTTCTTTAGTTGCTAATGCACTTTTAATACCTGGTTGGGAATCAGGGGTTGTCCTAGGAGCAAAATAATTGTCCATACTCCCAGTAGCTTTCCTCTTCTTTGAAGTACTCATGATAATTTGTAAATCAACATGGGTTTCTTCAATATCCTCTTCTAAGTTTTCAACAGTTTTTTTCTTTGAAGATTCTTTCAAAGATTCTGATATTCTATGACGTACATCATGTAAAACTTTCTTACAAGAAGCTATTTGACCAGTGATACCAGCAAGATGTTGCTTCATCCTATTTATCCCACCTCCTCTATAACTATTAGCACAAAAAAGACAAGTATATATATTCTGTGTCTCCTCTTTTTTGTATGCAATATGTGCCCATGCAGGATCAGTTTTGGTACGTAATGAAGAAGTGGGTGTAGGAGTGGAAGTTTCAGTATTAGGAGCAGAAGATCCCGTATTAGGAGTCACATTGTCACTTCTTGAACTTGGATTACTTGAAATATCCATCACTGTTACTAAATAACAAATCAAGAAAATCAAATATCAAATATCACATTTGGCCATTTGGGGATTCATTGCTATGGGATTAGCTCGGATAATACAACATCACTGATTAAAAATCAAAGATCAAATTGACAAATTCAGTATAAAGAACGCACAAAGCATGACCAGTGAAACGAGTATGATCATGTTCTTACGTTGCTTCTCATTTGATTAAATGATGTTCACATTTGGCCATCGGGGATATGGGATTAACTCTCTAAACTTTTAATTAATGAATCCTCTCACATGTGCTGACCAGATATCATCATTTAAATGATGTTCCAAGTAAACAAATCATTGAAATCAATCACTATGAAGAACGCACACAACATGACCAGTGATTCAGTGAAGGAAAAACCGTAAGAGGCTACCAGCAGAGCACATTTATGATCTAACTATCTAAGCCTAGCTGAATAAAAATTACTAACAAGACAACAAGACAAGAGCACAGAATCAACCACCTGCAGCTCCGACAAGGCGACAACGATTCTGCCACCGTCAAGAAGTAACGACCACAGGAGGCGACTACCTGCGGTTGCAATGTAGATTTGCTCTTGAACCACGATCACCGGCTGCTTCAACGTTCAACCGTGACGACGTGATGCGAAGATTCGGGACCTCCGATGGCGAAGAACGCTCCGGCACAATAAGGTTGATTCAGTTAGGGATTTTCGATTTGGGGGAGGGTGGCGACAGCGAGAAGTGAAAGGCAAAGGAGAAAGAAACCGAAGCAGGGGTTGAGTGAGCTGATTCGATTTGGACCGGATAGCCTTTTTTTTTTAATTTTCCATGCCAAATGACGTCGTTTTTCATGGATTGACGGATTAAAAAAAAATAAAATTTCCAAAACCGGGCAACCCATCAACCCGGCGGTTTTCCCGGTTTGATTAGGTTATTACCGGTTGAGAACGGTTCAACTAATAACCGGTTTTTTTGGCCTCTCAGACCGGACCAGCCATCGGTTCACCGGTTTTCCGGTCGAATCGGCCGGTCCGGTCCGGTTTTTTTTTTCTTGGTTTTTCTGTTGCCATCCAATTTATCTACGCGTAATTGTGATTAAAAGTTAAAAAAAATTAGTTATCAATGATTTATAAATACTCCTGTATATTTTCACTTTTTCAACTGAAAATTTACCAGTTTTTTTGAAAATAATACTGAGGGATCAAATAGAAAAACAGTGATAAAAGGATAAAAATGAAATTTTGTTCAACCCAAAAAAAAAAAGAAAAGAAAAGTTTATTTTTAAAATATTATTAATTATTAGCTTAAGGGGGAATAAAGGGGTGATGCCCCAACTCCGACCATAACGGTGAGCACTAACATGCCAAGCAGGATTAAACGGCGTTGATCCGTCGTACAAGAGTCCATTTTTATCCTTTCTCTGTCGCTCTTACTTCCTTCCTCATCTCTTGATGGATACGCTTCCTCTACTCCTCCCTTCTTCTTTCCCACTCTACAAAAACCACCCCACAACCCAGAAAAATCTTCCTGCCTTCAAACCCTTCAATCTTTTCTCAAACCCGAAACCGCCTGATTCTTCATTCCAATCTTCATATTCCACTAAGAAAATTCCCATTTCGCTTCAAACCGATTCTCAGAGTTCTCCTCAAAATCTTGCCGGGTGCTTATCTTTTGCTATAATTGACCTCTTCGCTGCTTCTCCTTGCCTCGCCGCAGAATCTGTGGCAGAGACAGAGTCGGGCAAAATCAATTTGGAATCGATTGTCGTCTCGGTTGATAACTTTTTAAATAGATATCCTTTTTTCGTCGCCGGGTGTACTTTCATTTGGTTGGTTGCCATACCTTTGACTCAAGAGTATTTTAGAAAATACAAGTTCATATCAGCCCTAGATGCATATCGGAAGCTGCGGGATGATCCTTATTCTCAGCTCTTGGACATAAGAGATAGAAAGAATTTGAAATTCCTGAGGTCTCCCAATTTGAAAATTTTGAATAAGGAAACAGTGCAGGTTGAATTTTCAGAAGGAGACGAAGACGGGTTTGTTAAGAAGGTGTTGGAAAGCTTCAACGATGCACCAAATACTGTCCTCTGTATTCTGGACAAGTAAGTAAAATAAAATGTAGCATTTTAATGCAATATATTCTCCTATGATGGAAAAGATTTCTGAATCCTGTGTTCTTTAGGTTTAAAGTGCAGCTTATTGGAAACCAAGAGGAAATGCCAAAATAAAAATTTGGTCTGATCGAATTGTTTAATTTGGCAAATGCAGAGTTGTTTCTGACAGTTTTACATGTGGATCTCTATGAAGGTTTAATACAAAAATATGATGGAAATTTGATAATTTATTTCACTAAAACTATCAGACAAATAATCATAAAGGGCACTTGGAGGAATGTGACTGATGTATTTTCAGTGTTTTTTATATCTCATTCTATAACATGCCCCCTGCGAAGGAGTGATTGAATAACTGCTTCGAGTTTTGGTCCTATGGACAGTACAGGACCTAGGTGCTATTCTGAACACCAAATTTATCTGCAGCTTCATCTGGGATTGGCTTTGGGCCTTTTCTGCGCAGCTTTTTCTTGTTTGTACGACAAGCTGATTTATTTTGACCAACTAAATGTCTTTTAATTGGATGCTTCAAAGTTTATCTTCTGGTTATACTGTTCACTTCTTCACATCTTAATTTTTGCAGAAGATTGAATATAATTTTATGTAAGTCTGTCATAAAGGTGATAGAAGTTGAATTGTAGACGAACAAAATTTCATTTTCTTTTACCAAATGCTATACACAATTCAAAGTCCATTAGTTGCTTTGTTTTTTGTGTGTAAGGTAGTTTTGATGGTAAATCCATGAAAGTGGCCGAGTTATTATTTAAGAATGGTTTCAAGGAGGCATATGCAATTAGAGGAGGAGTCAGAGGCGAGCAAGGGTGGATGGTATGTGTATTTTTTATTTTTCCCAATTCTGCCTGATGTTCTTCACCACACAAAATTCATAAGAAATTTGATGCTCGTTGGCAAATAATCAAATTCTTCATCCTTTACTGCAACATTTATCTAATACTCTTTTGAATATGAAAAATCCTAAATGGCGGATTCATTATTATATTGTGATAGTTCAATTCCTACTCTTTTATTTGATGACAACCTTAAATGAAGGTTTCTTGTCACAGAAAGTTCTTTTGGAAGGATGGTTTAGAGGAATCAATTTTATGCCTTTATATTTGCAGGAAATACAGGATACCCTTTTACCTCCTTCTGTACATATTTACCCAAGGAAAAAGAAACAAGCTTCAGAACAACTTGGTACAAATGGGGCCATTCAGCAAAATGAAGATAATGGTAACTCCTTGTCCCCAAAACTGGAAGATCAAAGTTCGGACACTGGACCTGCGAGAAAGTCTGCAGAATCCTTTCCAGATGTGAAGATTGATTCTAAAGCTTCCTCCTCTCCCTACCCAAATGTACATTAACTGAAATCTTTTTCCCCCCGGTTACCATCTATTTAAGTACTATCAAATCACTTTTGGATATTTTAGCTGGGAAAAACATGTTTTAGTGAGATTAATAATATTCTGTTTGTTTGTTGGTGAAAGGTTCAACTCCTTCCTCATTTTAATTATTGAGCAAATACGTATGAGCATGAAAGTTAGCATTTCAGTAGGACCATGGTTGGGCCCACACTTGTATCCTATAGCATGTTAGCTTACTGGCGTTCTAAATCACATTGTTTAGAAAATAGGGTAATTCTCCGGAAAGCACTACATTGGCTTATGAGTAGTTTTATTGTAATATCTAAAATTTCATGCTTTAATTCTACGAGTAAATAAGGACCCTTGTATGATTGTTTTTATGTTTTTGACAGTACCCAGATATGAAGCCACCATCCTCCCCAACTCCATCAAAGCCACAATAGCGACATTGTTGGTATGCGATTCCTGTTCTTGCCTAATATTTGAATGTTTTGTCTTGACGATAATATCTTCTTTTTGTGTTTGTTAAACTTCAGAGATAGTGAAAGCAGTGTTTTCAGTTATGAATGAGCTAGGGAATTATTTGTCACCTTTTCTTTTACCAGCAAAGAAAATTTCTGTTACAATAATGAATATATTGCATGTGATCCTAAGTCCTCACCGTTTACGAAAAAAACCAATCCAGATGTCTTCTGTGAAGTTAAAATAGTACAAAACCCAGTTACTCTCAAGAAAAAGGTGTGCCATCTATCATGTAGAAAAACATACAAGTCCCTAATTATGGAGTTGCAGTACATTGGCTCACTAAAGGCTTGGATTTTATAGTATGATTGGATTGAGAAGAATAGACAGGAAGGGAAGAGATCTAGAATTTTGATTTGACAAATTTTCCTGTTTAGATTTAAAGTTATCATTTTTATGCATTAATATTCATTGCTAACATTAAACAGTACCATGAGATCTCTCTATTGCGGTTTACTTGAGACAGTCTGTGATAGAGCCAGCAGCTAGAAACTATATGACTGGGAAAATATTGCCGTGTATCCTCTTTACTGATTGAAAATAAGAGAATACAAACACTAATTATTGATGCAAAAAGCTAACACACCCGGAAATGCGCTAAGAAAATAGCTAGAAAATGAAGGAAAACACTCATGATCTGATATTCGAGAGATCAGACACCCCTCTCCTGTCTGACACACCAATTGCCTACCTCACTACTACGCCTTTCCCTCCTAAAACGTACTCCCACTACCTGACAATGTCAGAAAATCGCTACCCCTCTTGCATATTATCATTCCCGCTTCTACCCTTCCTTCGTAGCAAATTCTGATCAGACATGGGCCCTGGGCCATCTTTGGTTCTTCTCTCGTATTTTCTGTCCCAATACTTGTTGGGCCCATCAGTCTGAAGAAGATCCTGACCCATATATTATACAAACAGCAGCAGCAATAGAGTGGCTGGCTAGATATGATCGCAAACACATAACGTAGCATGAGAAGAGACATCATAGGTCATGATGGGTAGTGAGCATTTACTGCAAATTTTTAATTTACGTTGCTGAAAGATACACTTTAATTAATGTACATAAACTCATACTGTGATCCACATTTATGTTTGAGCAGAAGAAACAAATAGAACAGCAGTACTTTTGGCTGCCTTTATGATCCTTCAAAAACCAATACAGAAGCGAGCCCTGCATATATCTATCTTTCTTTCTAGGTTTGTCTTGTCAGTGTCTAGGCTCACGATTGTTGAGAGTGGCTAGCTGCTAGGCTTTCCCTCGTAATCCTTTTATGGATGGAATTTATGATACAGCAGGTATCATGGAGGACCATAATGGAATTTTACTTATTGTTTGATCAATCTTCAAATATAAATTTAGGTTCCATTTCATGACTAAATAAGGACACCTGAATTATTCTTTTATCTTCTTGACAGGGCCTCCAGCATATGAAGCCACCTCTTTCTTTCATCCATTAAAGCTTCAACAGTGATTTTATATGACATTCTCAATTGGTATCTTTAGGCAGAAATGATTTTTGTAGGCAGAAATTCCATAGTTGAATTTCTCATCTCTACAATTTTATTTTCTTCATATTATATGCTTGTTGAATTTCAGGGATAGTGGAAACTCTGTTCTCAGTTATGATTGAGTTAGGGAATTATTTGTCAATTTTTCTGACAGCAATCAAAATTCCTTGTGTCTTTGATGGATGTACTGCACGAGATCCTTAGTCCTCACACAGGAAATACAGATTACAGAATCAATCTGACTGTTATTTGTGATTGTTATGCTAGGAGGCTGTGTCACAAATTAGCATAAGAAATTACATTTGCATTTGAATTGATACTGACTTGGAATGTGTAGTGCAAGGTCAAGGTTTCTTATTCTACTCTGTTTTCTGAAAAACCTGTTTTGAAGACGACAAGTCTTGTTTAGAAACGTGTATTTCATAGCTACTCACATGCAGTTTTAGGAAGCTGACTTTTCTTAGAGAATTTCTTCCTTCTTAATCTCTGCCTTTATTTTCCACGTTTATGGTGGAAAAGGGAAAAAGACTTCAAGTTGGTTTCTCTGAAAATTAAAAATTCTGGACTTCCAACTTTCACATTGTATTAAGAGAGTTGATCTTTGGATAACATTGTTGGAATGGAAAGCTTTTATAATTTAAAAAAAAAAAGTTCTTGAAAACAACAATAATGTTTTGAAAGTCCGATGCACCCATCCAAGACTCTCCTCTAACAGAAACAGTTGAACACATTGCCATGTCCAACATATCACGACAGATTTCAAAAGGGAAAATGACAGATGGTGTCAATTTTCGCAAGATAATGACAGTTAATGATCATAGAGCTTGAAAATGCCTATGAAATACCAACGTCGTTGATTGATTATCTAAAATTGAAATGGCTATCAATTGGAAGACTTGAACCTTAGGATCCTTAACTATCATTATCTTGCTTAAGGTTTTAATTGTCATTTTCCCCTTCTTAAAATTGCAGCACATATCAGAAGTACCGGGGCTATATGACAAACCCAAATCAGCTTTTGTGATAACGATGATTTCAAAAACCTGCGAGGCTTAGAACCGTCATAAATCAGGTATGCTGCAATCTTCTTCACAGGATATTGAGGCCCAATGCTTAAAACAAGCTCCACCAGATCACCAGGTTGAAAACTTGAAATGATACTCTGCCATTCTGCATCTTCATGAAAAGTTGACGAGTCTCCCTTAAGATGTTTAACTGTTGCTTTTGTGAGGTTAATGATTAGAACATCTATGAGAAATTGAGGCGTCGTGGTGTCCGTGCAAGAAGAATACCCGACGTTGAGAAGCATTGCTTTCAAGCAACAACCTATGACTTGAGGTACCTTAAAAATTACTGAGCGTCCTTCACCCTTAAAGATGAACCAATCGTGATACTGATCACCAAGTAGGTGAAAATCATCCCACCCACCATAATTCCATCCCTATTTTGCATCAACACATGAATTAAATAATAATGTGGCCAGAAAAGGAAAGAAAGCAAGGATCAGGAACAATTATTAGAGCATGTGTGCGGAAGTAATTGTTCATGCTTCTATTAGTTATTGTTGAAAAACAAAACTGAAGCCTTTTCATCATTATATTAACACATAAAACACACACGCACTAACGATAATAGGTTATTTCAGAGAGCTCATGGATTTAAAAACAGAAAAGAGACGAACCTGAGAAATTCCCACTTTCAGCAACTCTGCCTTGTCTAGCACTCCAAGTTGAAGTAAAAGAGATTTCAAGGAATCTGCTGGTCTTGAAATCTTAAGTTGGTCAGGGGCCTCAGATAACGCAGAAGCTTCCGCATATGAGATCTGGGGTGTATCTTGAGTTGCTTCCAATCCCATCAAATTTGTCTCATACAAGGCATCCAAAAGTCTTGCCATTCTTTCATAAAATCGAAACCGTGGTCGACATTCCTCCCACATACTTCGGAGCTTCACAAGATCGCCTAGAAATGCAGATAGGTCACAAAAGCTACTATTCCGTCTAATTGAGATATCTATAGCTGATATGCTTTGCACAAATTCTTCAATACGGGAGTGGGGAATGCTGTTATGTGACATCCAAGACCATATGAGAGAAGGAAATATATCTTTTGCTCTTCCTTCATGACCAGGGAACGATACATATCCATGCTTAAGCCCTTCCAATCTTGCTAATGAAAAGGGTACTACTGTTATGGCAGTATTATCTGCCATAAGAGTTGTCAAAGACTCCATCTGCTCAATATCTTCTTCTAAATGGTCAATCGATGAACAACTAGAAAGAATGAGAGTTTTTACAGATTTCAACTTGTAAATGCTTCTAGGAAGATATCTAAGGCTCTTACAATCTTTTAGATTTACATGCAGAAGGTATTTTAGATCTCCAATGCTCTTGTTAATTAAAATCAGGCGTGGACAATCTTTCATCACTAGCCTTTCAAGGTTTGGTAGATATGTAAAATCAGGAGTTTCAGTCAAGTAAGGAGAATGACTGAGATTGAGTGTCTTCAACATCCTTAGCAACTGCAAAAACATGCAAGTATCAATTGAAGAATCAGAAGCTTCATTCTGGAAGAATTATATTATCAAAGATATTGATTATCTTCATAGATTGTAACAACAAATATAAATACCTGGGGCTTTTTCCAAACTACTCTGAGGTTGCTATATTTGAAGTCAATAGCAACTAGTTTTTCTTGATAAAAGTTGTTAGGAGTGTATTTTAACGGAAATCCATGCCAACAAAGCCATCTCAGCTTTCTGGAAAGATATTTGTAATCTCCTTTAAGATTTACATAATCTAGTTGGAGCAATCTAAGTTTCTTCATCTCCTTAAATGCCTCAGAATTAATGAGATACTCTGTATGGATTTCTGATGCCTTCAAAGATATACCCTGAATAACTTTAGTTCCCTATAAATACGTATGAGAAAAAAAGTTACAAGCGAGGGAAACATTTGATAAATGTTGAGAGAAAGCCAATTAACAAATAACATTTATATATCTTGATCTTGCTTTTTACGTACAAGATTGCTATAACAAACGCTATGAGACATGTATACTGTAGTAATGAAAAAGGAAGATCATAATTGTATTTTGTAAAAAGATAATGCATCCCTTGACATCAAAACTTAGAATAGAAAATAATATCTTGAAAATTCTTACTGTGTGCGCCGTTAACACATCAAGCACATCTTGATGGGTCCATAATCTGCTACGTTCTTTAGGATCTTTACATGGGCTTTCACGGATGATTTCTTTCCCCATCTCTTGCAATAAATCATGCATTTCAAGTTTATTATTCCTACCGACTTTTACTAGGCTCCGCTCAATGAGGACTTGTAATCCATTTTCTGCATACAATTCACAACCATCTAATATCTGGGTAACATAGTTCCTATCCTTGTTGATAAAAAAGCAGCATATGTCAAGGAAAATATCCTTCTCTCTGTGATCATTCAATCGATCATAGCTTATTTTTAACTTTTCATGTATCTCTTTATTAGGAATCCTCTGTAGTTTGGACAATACATCCTTCCATTGTTCAATTGTTCTCCCACGCAAACAAGAACCAAGGATTTCAAGTGCCAGTGGAAGTCCATCACAGTAAGCAACTACCTTTTCAGATAATTCTACAAAGTTTTCATAGGGATCTGCTTGATTAAAGGCATGCCAGCTGAAAAGCACAAGAAGCTCCATTCCATTCATTTCTCTCATTCTATACTTATGGTCAGCATTAATGACATCAAGTAAATGTAGATCTCTAGTTGTTATGAATATTACACTCCCAGCACAAAACCAGTCAAGACTCCCACAAAATGCATTCAGTTGATTGACGCTATCCACATCATCCAATACAACAAATGCTTTTATGTTGGGAAATCTTTCTTGAATTATTTTTTTCCCTCTATCAATGTTAGGTATCTTGAAAACTTCTGTTTTAATGATATCATAAATGAGTTGCTTTTGCAAATTAACTTGGCCATTAGCATGTTCTGAATTTTCTCTTATATTTGCAAGAAAACTTCTTGCTTTTCCAAACTTACGACCAATTGTATTGTAAATGGCTTTGGCAACAGTTGTTTTACCAATGCCTCCCATCCCCCAGAGACCTATGATAAGAGGTTTTGAGGATCTCTTTTCTGACCATTCAATTGTCAATGCATGAACTCGTGACTCTATGCCAACAGGATGCTTAGCAACAGACAATTGTCCCGTGTCTACTTTTTCTGAAACATTCTCAACAATAGTCTCAATCAACTCACTGTCAAGCCTGTCAATATTAAATACCAGTGAAGCAATATAATCAGCCACATAAGTAACCATAATCATCAGGAATAAGACCAACATGACTTATTTTCAAACGGAAGAATTTTAGCGGGACCATTAAGAATAAAAGATGGACCAATTTAGCAACTAAATATGTAAATGCATCATCGGAAAAATTTCAAGTATTGGATAAAAGAGTGGGCATTAATTGCTGGAACCGAATAGGAGAAGGCTTCAAAAGAAGGCCAATGGCACATGGAGGCTGTTGGCGCTGTATGTTAACATTGCTCAGTTTTTCGTCATGTCCAAACATACAACATCATATGGGAATGTGTTTTGAGTTTAGCCAACAATCATGCCCTTTCCTCTGTTTTTTTTTTTTTTTAAATGAGAGTTGGTTTAATTACAATATATTACCGATATGCTGAAGAACTAAAGCCGGAAATGTTGGCAGCCGCTGCGAGTGCCATCCTCCACCGCATCACCCCATCATTGTCCCTTCCCAACCTTTCTTCATGTCGTTCAATTGCTTCACCATATGTGCCTCTCTGATGACGAACATGAGACGGGTCTACTTCATAGAATATGGGTATAACCACCTGAGCTTGACTTCTTTGAAACTCCATTATCTTTACCAGTTCATTCAGACACCATTTGGAAGAAGCATAATGTGGAGACAAAATTACCAACGCAATTTGTGATCTTCCAATTGCTTGCACTAATGAGCCAGAGACATCTTCTCCCCTTTCAATCCCTGGTTCGTCCATGAAAGCGTGGATTCCTCTCTGTTTTAGTGCATTATAAAGATGAGAAGTGAAACTGCGACGAGTGTCTTCGCCATTGAAACTCAAGAACACGTCGTAATGGAACCATTTATCAACTTCTGACTCCATTCTCATTGGACGCTCTGTGACAAACGGTGATTCTCCAACGCCTAATTCTCTTGAAACTTTCTCAACAATTTTCTCAACCAGCTCACTTTCATACCAGCTGTCAACATTAAATTCAACATCCGTGAAACAATAATTAGCATCATTATTATAAATAAACTAACAAGACTAGTTTTTACACAGAAGAATTTTATTGAACCATTAAGAATAAGAGATGATGGCGTAATTTAGCTATTGAATACGTATCCCTTCAGTCCTAAATATAAGTCCCATTTTGTAGTTTAATTTTATGGAACCTATAATTTCTTTTTTTCCGTGCCAAAGTGCAAGAATAGAACAGGAAACACAATTATAATTCTTTTGAAGTTATAAATATAGGATTAAGACTAAGTTATTGTTTGTCCTATATTATTATATATAATTTTTATTATTTTGAATCATAATTACTTCAACATTTTTCGGTGCCTAAGAATAGGCATGAAGGACGAAGCTGAACTAAGATGAAACCACAAAGACCATACAAATCCTAATTTTTGGAAAGGCCGGCCATTCGGTTCTGTTTCATTTGGATCTAAAACTAAAATGAAGATCGAAAGGAACGTAGAATAAAGCAGAAAGACCATGAAATAGAATCAGCCAAATGAATAATCAACAACAACAATCATCTTCATCACATCAATCTTAATTAGTGACAAATTATTGAAGCGTAAACTTTACTGAAATAGAAAGGGGTTAATCCAACAACCTGCGGTCCTGATATTTATGAAATATTACCTATATTCCGAATCTGAAAAGCTAAAGCCGGCAAGGTTGGCGGCTGCCGTGAGTGCCTCGCTCCATCGCAAGACCCGATCACTGCCCTTTCCCAACCTTTGCTCGTGTCGTTGTATTGCCTCACCATATGTGCCCTTTTGATGACGAACATGAGACGGATCTACCTGATAGAATATGGGAATGACCATCTGAGCTTGACTTCTCTTACACTCCATTATCTTCACCAGTTCATCCAGACAGAAAGCGGAAAAAGCATAATCTGGGGACAAAATTACTAACGCAATTCGTGATTCTTCAATTGCTTGAAATAACGTTTCCAAGATATTTCCTCCCAACCCGGTCCCTGGATTGTCCACGAAAGCATGGATTCGTCTCTGTTTTAGAGCGTTATAAAGATGAGAAGCAAAACCGCGACGAGTGTCTTGACCTCTGAAACTCAAGAACACATCGTAAGTCCAGGAAGAACTTGAAGAAGGAGAAGAAGCCATGGCTTATTGGCGAAATCAGACAGCAGCGCAAAATAAAACGCTTTAACGGATCACAATTTTCACAAGAAAGTGACTTCAATAAGCCAGACTTCATTTTAAAAGAAACAACAGTCGGTCAATTACAATTTTTTGCTATTGGCGGCCAGAAGCAGTCAATTACTGTAATTTAGTTATAGTTCTGCCATATCATTCTCTTCCCTGCCGTTTAATTCATGGGCAAAATTTTTATTCTAAGAGATAATGAAATTGGACCCCGCTATTATTTTCTCACAGTTAATTCTTTTTTAGACACAGTCAAGATATTAATTAGGGATTAAAATACAAAAAAAAGGCGCTAATTTTTAGAAGGATTAATGCAATATTTAATCCCTAAAGTCAAGGATATTATATTTATGCTAGATTAGTAATATTTAACATCTTTTGAATCCTATTGTTAATATGAAGATCTTGTTGATCGGTAATCTATAAATATCACTATATGTACTCTCTGAACTTGAAGGTATGCCTTGATAATAATGTGTTAACATGATACTAGTTTTAAATTGCAAAAACCAAAATCAAAATGAATTGAAGATTATATTAACCATTTTTAGAACATCACATAGTGATGCTTATTAGTACTAAAAACCAGAATGGTCATTAAACCAATTGAAATAGTGATTCAAGAGCTATTGGGTCAGACCGAGATTAACTTGGATAAGACTAGTAATAATTAAAATAATTTAATTTAATTAAAATGTATAGAAATAGTCATATATTAATTATGAAAAATATAATATTTAATCTTTGAATACATACCCAAATTACAAAGTGTTTATATATGTGCTTTTTAATTTTTTTGGATCCAAGAGCTTGTAACTTAATTGACGCCGATGTCTCCTCTTACAGAGGAGGTCACGTGTTCTACAAGAGTGGAGCTTAGCAATGTTTGATAAAAATAAATAAATAAAAAAAGAAGCCATTTCTCCATTGCCAAAGCACCAAACCGCACACTGCAAATATCTGATTCCATTCATTCCATCTGCCCTTTGACTTACAGATTCTGCAGAGACCATTCATAAAGATTCAGCTCAAAAAAGTCTCCCCATTCCTGTCTTCCCGGCAACTCATTCCATACTTGCCTTGCTACTACATAACCACGCAACACATGATGAGTGCCTTCGACCTCTGCCCCATAAACTAGACACCCTGGAGATGTCTCTTAAGATTTTACGTCTTTTAGCAGAAGCAAGCAAGCCACCATTTGCAGCGAACCACAAAAAAACCTGCATACTCCAAAGGACCCCCCCCCCCCAAATTTCCAGATCGCTTTCACAATTTATCACCCCTCAACCCAATAAAACCTTTCAAAAGTTTATACATTTTGGTAACAGAGAACTTACCATTCGAACTATTTATCCACTTCACCTTATCACAGCTATCATCTGTGGTTGGTGGCACTATAGCTTGAACTCTCTCCACAGTCTCGTTTGGCAGTAGCTCCTTCAACGTATCCAAGTTCCACTCTCCCCATTCATTCAAAAAATCCCTTACTAACATTTCTCCCATCTCCTCCCTCCACGTAGACCTACATTTCTCCTTCGACACCTTATTTCCAACCCATCTATCTTCTCAAAACCTGACTCTCCTTCCATTTGTAACTTCCCAACCACCATTTGCCGCCATTCTGTCTCATAGTTTTCCCAGCCTCTTCCACACAACTGAATCACTCTGCTTGACACTACAAGACCTTGTTAATTTCGCTTTCCTCCCCTACTTGGCATTCAGCACTTTTGACACAAGCTTCTCCGGTTTCTCTATCATTTCGCATCCCACTTTGCACAACTGCATCATTCATCACTGTCAAATCCCTTAGACCACATCCACCAACTTCCCTCAGCAAACACAATCTCTTCTAACCCATCAGACGGATCTTCCGTCTACCATTCTCCTGCCACTAAATAAATTCCCTCTGCAATTTCTCTATTTGCTGACACACCCCTCTAGGTGTATTTTCATGTAACATGTGGCCCACCGGAATTTGGTGTGTGACCGATTGCACTAAGGTTAACCTACCAGCCAAAGATAAACAATTCCTTTTCCAACCGCTCAACTTCTTCTGCACCTTATCAATCAGAAAACTAAATTTCTGTTTTGAGTTCCTCCCTTCCACTGCATTGGGTACCCAAATACCTCCCTATATTCTTAGTTTTTGGAAACCCGCATAAATTAATCAATTAAATAAACTAGACTTGTGGGCTTATAGGCTAGCCCTTATGAAAATATGTATCTTATTTATTTAAATAGGACTTGCTATAGACAAGAACCCGACCCTGTCCTATTTACCAAATAAGTTATGTCAGACACAAGCAGGTTACACCGTAGGCTTTTGATAAGAACTTAGTCTACTTTTATTCCTATTTGTTAGCCATGAGTCAGTGTTTTACGTTCAATGAGTCAATATTTTTATTACTAAAGTTAACTTTTTCAAGTTTAAGAAAATGAAATTGTAATTTTTAAGTTTAAAGAATTAAACTGAAACTTGATATAAATTTAAATGATTAAATCTATAATTATCCTATAAGTATCGTTGATGAAGAGACTTGAAAAACTTGATTAACAGAAGATACTCTTTTACCATACCGCTTGAAGTTCATAGACTTTACAAACCAAGGAACTCATCATCATTCTGCCCACTTCTTCTTCTTCTTTCTTAATTAACAAAAAGACACTTTAACTGATAATCATACACCTAGGGGGCCAACTGAACAGTCTTTCCTCAGAATGTTAATAAGCTCCACCAGCGGATCAAAGACCACGTGAAAACCAGGCGGTGCTTTAAGACCCTTCTTACCAAGGCAGTCAGCGGTCTCATTATTGCAGCTACTATCAATATTAGTTAATGTGAACATCCCATTCCCGCTTTGACAGAGACTTCACTTCTCTAATCACATCACAATCTGCATGGTTATCCTCCTGGCTGCAAATAATAATAAGCTCAATCACATGCGTCGAGTCCGACTCTATAGGATAACTCGCCTAGAACTTTCATGACAGGCAACCTTAACTGCGTAGGCAAGGCCAAATTTCAGCTGAGAGAGTGTCACCGTCGTTGATATGGTGGATGAAGCCTTTTATGAACTCCCTTTCAGTGTTCCGGATCAAGCCCCCACAAGCATTATTCTATTTGCCCGCTTCTTATCCCATTTTAAGCAGAACATGGTACAAGAAGTCCAAAAGTCTGTCCTAGGCTTTGTTCATGAAAGCCAATTCTAGAAGACCACTCTTTTTATGACACAAATAATGGAAAGTCTCATGCACGATGATAATATTATCTTGATTATGACTCATCACAAAGGTTCCCTCTTATTCAGAAATGCAGCTATCTAGCCACGGTTTAGACTTATTCACCATAACTTTTGAAATGATTTTATAAGAAAAATGCTTATAGGTCAAAACTCGTTGACTATGACTGGACTTTTTACTTTTCGGATTGGCACCACATCGATCAGTTCATTAATTGAATTGAGCTTAAAACCATTTGAAAAGAAACTTTTAACTTGCCAGTATACCTGATCCCCTATTATCACCCAGCTATTTTCGTAGAAGCTGCCCGTGAAGCCATCTGATCCAGGCGCTTTAGTTTCCTCCCACTTCATGAACAGCAGCCTTAACTTCACCAATAGACACCTCTCTCATAAACCATTCATTGATGATTTCTGGAGTTATAGCTTATCCACACCCTCCAAAACTTCAGAAAAATCTGTGTTACTTGATGAGCTGAGAAGTCTTCCATAAAAATCTTCAAAAGCCTTTGCACTTTCCTCTTCTAGTGCCTCCAACCATCATCAGTCCTCAACTTCACAATCTTACCCCAAAGCTAATTGATTTTATTTTTCAGATCTGCCACTTCCCTTGCGATGTTATCATTCCAAGTACCATTGATGAAGTCTTCCTCGTCAATTTACCAATCAACCAAAGCTGATGAATTATCGAATTCCTTTCTACGGCAACTAAATCGTGCCCCCATCACATTGCATGAGTAGAGACATCATACAACAAAGAAAAATTTACCAGCTAGGAGGATGATATGATAGGTAGTCAGGCATTCACTTCAAATTTTTATTTTATTCTATTTTGTGTAACTCAAGAGTATACTTAAGTCACTTGGATTTGAGACCAATCTCTGTCAAGTCGGAAGCATTAAAGTTAAAGATCTCCTAACAAATGCATTTTTCAAAATTCAAACTTGTGTTCTCCTCCTTATAAGGGTGAGACCACTTATTATCTCAACCAATAGTTTGTTAGTAAATTTTTAATTTATTATCTCAACCAATAGTTTGTTAGTAAATTTTTAATTTACATTGCTGAAGGATATTAAGATACACTTTAACTAATTTACATGAACTCATGCTATGATCTACATTTACATTTGAGCGGAAGGAACAAATAGAACAGCAGTACTTTAATTATACCTACGGCTACCTTTGTGATCCATCAGAAACTGAAGCAGAGAGCAAACGCCATACGTATCTATCTATCTATCTATCTTTGTGGTCTTGTTATGTACGGGCCATTCCTAGGTGCAGTATTTGTTTTAGCATTATCCTTTCAGTGTTCTGTGTAAATTTTTGCAGAACAAATGTTGAAATAAAGACAACCTGCCGGAGTAGTGAAGTGAAACATGAAGTCACTAAGGAAGTTATCTGATATAGGAGTTATCCTGGAGGACCAAAATGGAATTTTATTTATTGTTTGATTATAATCTTCAAATATGAACTTAGGTTCCTTTTTTTACAACTAAATAAGGACACCTGCATCATTGTCTTATCGTCTTGACAGGGCCCCCAATATATGAAGCTACTACTTTCCTTCATCCATCAAAGCTTCAACAGTGATTTTTGTACGACCTTATCAACTGGCATCACTAGGTGGAAATAATTTTTGTAAGCAGAAATTCAATAGTTGAATTTGTTATCTCCAAATTTTATTTTCTTTATATGCTAGTCAAATTTCAGAGATAACCATGTTCTCAGTTATGATTTAGGGAATTATTTGTCAATTTCCCTGATAGCAATAAAAAGTCCTTGTATCTTAAGGATGCATTGCACGAGATCCTTAGTCCTCACACAGTACGTGCAGATTACAGAATCAATCTGACTGTTATTTGCGATTGTTATTCTAGGAGGCTGTTTCACAAATCAGCATAAAAAACCACATTTGCATTTTAAATGAAAATTATTTGGAATTTGTGGTGCAAGGTCAAGGTTTCTTATTCTACTCTGTTTTCTGAAAAACCTGCTTTGAAGATGATAAGTCTTGTTCAGAAGCATGTTTCTTGAGTTTCATGGCTTATCACTTGCAGTTTTAGGAAGCTGACTTTTCTTAAAGAATTACTCTGTTTCTATTTTCCATGTTTATGGTGAAAACAAAGACTTCAAATTGGTTTCACTGAAAATTAAAGAATCTGGTCTGGACTCCCAACATTTACATTGTAATTAATTAAGAAAAATGGTCCTCAGATAACATTGTTGGAATGGAAAGCTTTTTATTGGGAACACAAAAAAAAACCTTAAAAACAACAATCATCTTTTGACAGTCCAGCTCACCATCCAAGACTCTTCGTACCAAAAAGTCGGACACTCTCCATTGTCCAACGTATAACGACAGATTTTAAAAAGCAAAAGGAGAGTTAGTCTCAAGTTTTGCAGAATAATAACAGATAATAACCCTAGAACTTGAAAATGCCAATTAAATACCAAGGTCATGTACTAATTGGGAAAATTCTATGAACCAAAAAGCTCTAGTTGAAATGTAAAAATCTTGTTTTAAGTCTGTAGCAATTGGCAGCTTTAAATTTGGGTCCTCAAGCATCATTACCTTGCTTAAGAAGGTCGTAATTGTCATTTTCCATATCTAAAAGTTGCCGCTGCATCAGAAATACTGAGGCTATATTACAAAGCGAAATCAGTTTTTGCGACAATTATTTCAATAACCTGCGACGCTTAGAACCATCATAGATCAAGTATGCTGCAATCTTCTTCACAGGGAATTGAGGCCCAATACTTAAAATAAGCTCTACCTGATCACCAGGTTGAACACTTGAAATGATGCTTTGCCATTCTGCATCTTCATGGAAAGTTGCCGAGTCTCCCTTACATTGTTTAACATAAGCCTTCGTGTAGTTAATTATCAGAACATTTATGAGAAATTGAGGCCTTGTGTTATCCATGGAAGAAGAATACACAACATTCAGAAGCATCGCTTTCAAGTGACAACCTATGACTTGAGGTGCCTTAAAATTTACTGAGCGTCCTTCGCCCTTGTAGATAAACCAGTCCGGATACTGATCACCAGGTAGGTTAGAATCATTCCACCCGCCAGAATTCCATCCCTATAGAGGGCATCAACACAGGAATCAAAAGCTCATATTTAAGTACTTATAAAAAAAACAATGTGGCCCGGAAAAGGGAAAATAAAATACGACTCCCTTCATTATAACATGCTCATTAGACTTGTGGGAAGCAATATTGCATCCGTAAGGTAATCACTGTTTGTTAATGAAACTATGGATTTCTCATGCATGCAATATTGATATGAGTCTGGTACTCCAGAAAACCAATGTTTCCAAACATGATGGTGGTAGAAAAGAAAACAGAGACAAACCTGTAGTATTTTGTCTTTCAATAAGTCTACTTTGCAGCTCCCTGCCATTTGAATTAAAAGAGAATTGAGGGAATCTACCGATGTTGCATTCTGAACTTGATCATGACCGTCAAATGATGTAGAAGCTTCCACGGATCTGCTTGGTGTGGATTCCAATTCCATGAAGGTTGTCCCATACAAGGCATCCAAAAGTCTCGCAATTTCTCCATCGAATCGAGACTGTGATCGGCATTCTTCCCACACACCTCGAAGCTTGGCAAGATCGCCCAAAAATGGAGATAGGCCATGAAATCTGCCATTCTGTATGACAGAAAAAACTAGAGATGACATCCTCAGCAAAAATTCTTCACTGCTGGACTGGGGAATATCGGCGGGTGACATCCAAGACCATATGAGAGAAGGAAATACATCTGGTGCTCTTCCTTCAAGGCCTAGGAAAGATACATATCCATGCTTAAGTGCTTCCAATCTTGCTAATGACTTGGGTATTACTGTTATGGCAGTATGATCTGCCTTTAGTACTGTCATGGATTCCATCTGCTCAATATCTTCTTCTAAATGGTCAATCAATGAACAACCAGAAAGAATGAGAGTTTTTAATGATTTCAACTTGTAGATGCTTCTAGGAAGAATCCTCAGGCATTTGCAGTCTTTTAGATTTACCAAAATAATTTTTTTCAGATCTCCAATGCTCTGGTGAATTAACACTAGGCTTGGACAATCTTTCAGTACTAACTTTTCAAGGTTTGGTAGGTTTGTAAAATCAGGAGTTTGTCTCAAGTGAGGTGAATGGCTTAGAATGAGAATTGTCAAACACTGCAACAACTGCAAAAATGAAGTTCCATGTGAAAAATTAGCCAAATTATAATATTGACAGCTTAAAGCATTTAAAAAGGGGGGAAGGACAAATTGATACTTGGGGTTTCTTCCAAACTAGCCTGAGCTTGCTGTATCTAAAGTCAATAGCAACTAAGTTTTTCTGGTACAAGCTGTCAGGTATGGATTTTAAAGGAAATCCACGCCAACAAAGCCACCTTAGCTTATTTGAAAGATGCCTATAATCTCCTTCAAGATTTACATACTCTAGTTGGAGCAATCTGAGTTTTCTCATTGCCTTGAATGCCTCAGAATCAATCTCACACACTTCATGGGGCTTTTTCAGGGATATGCCCTCAATAACTTTTGTTCCCTGTTAAAACATATGTAAAAATGTTACGGAAAGAATTGAAGTCCCATTACCATAAAAATTTTAAGAAAAGGGTATGAAACTCGTAAGTTGGAGCAACAAAAAAGAAGAAACTACATAACTTTGGTGGAAAAACGAATGTATATTCTTTGACATCAAAGCCTGCAAAAGAAAATAAGACATGAAAGAAATTCTTACTGTATTTTGCATTAACACTTCAGTTACATCCTCTTGAAACCACAATCTACTGCGATCCTCAGGGTCCTTTCGTGGGTTTCCACAAATGATTTCTCTTCCCATATCACGTAATAAGTCATGCATTTCAAGCTTGTTGTTGTTCCTATTAACATTTATCAGGCTTCGCTCAATGAGGGTTGTTATACCTATTTTTGCATTAAATCCACATCCATTTAATATGTGCGTGGCATAGTTTCTATCCTTATTGAAAAAGAAGCAACAAATATCAAGAAATATATTCTTCTCCATATCATCCTTTAAACCATCAAAACTTATTTTTAACTTTGCTTGTATCTCATCATTCGGAATCCTTTCTAATTTGGACAAGACATCCTCCCATTCTTCAATTTTTCTGTCAAACAAATAAGAACCAAGCACTTCAAGAGCTAGAGGAAGTCCACCACAGTAAGCAACTACATTTTTAGAAAGTTCTATGAAGTTTTCAAGGGGAGCTTCTTGCTTAAAAGCATGCCAACTAAAAAGCTCGAGTGACTCAATTTCATCCATCGTTCTCATTCTATACTTGTAGTCAGCTCTAATGACACTAAGCAGATGGAGATCTCTAGTTGTTATGACTATTATACTCTCAGGACAAAACCATTCAAGACTTCCACATAATGTATTCAGCTGATTGACACTATCCACATCATCCAATACAACAAATGCTTTTATGTTGGGAAATCTTTCTTGAATTATTCTTTTCCCTCTATCAATATTAGGTACCTTGAAAACTTCTGTATTAATGATATCAGAAATGAGTTGCTTTTGCAAATTAACTACGTCATTAGAATGCTTTGAATTTTCTCTTATCTTCGCAAGAAAACTTCTTGCTCTTCTAAACGTACGACCAATTGTATTGTAAAAGGCTTTGGCAACAGTAGTTTTACCAACGCCTCCCATCCCCCAGAGGCCGATGATATGAGCTTTTCTAAATCTCTTTTTTGACAATTTACTTGCCAGTTGCTGAACTCGAGACTCTATTCCCACTGGATGCTCAGCAACAAACAATTGTCCAGCATCTACTTTCTCTAAAACATCCTTCACAATGGTATCAATCAGCTCAACTTCAGACCTGTCATTAATAAATGTCCGTGAAACAATACAATCAGCCACATAAATAGCATCATTATCAGAAATAGAACCGACAAGACTTGCTTTTAAACAGGAAGAATTTTAGCGGGCCATTAAGGATAAGAGATGGACCAATTTAGCCATTAAATATGTATATGCATCACAGGAAAACTTTCAAGTGTAGGATAAATCGGGGGCATTAATTTCTGGACCCGAAAGGGCACAAGGAGGCTATTGGAGCCGGACAGGAGGAGGCTTCAAAAGAAGGCCAAGAGCAGAACAGAAAACGCAAGTATAATAATTACTCAAAACATTTTCAACCGTGCGATGAATTTATAGATATAACTTTTAAAGCTCACACAAAGTTACTCTAAAATAAAAATAAATTATACAAAATGGGTTTGAATTTTTTTTAAAAAAATTTATAAATTTTACTTTTATTTTCCAGACATCTATAGCCTATGTTTGATATATATATAAATATATATATATATTATAAAAGATTTCGAATTTATACTAAATTATATATATATTTTTTTCTATTGAATTCCATTTTGATTTTAAAAATAAAATTATGAAGGCATTTTGAGTTTTACCCATCGTCATTTGACTCATTTCCTCCCCCCGTTTTTTTTTTTTTTTTTGGCCTTAATGAGAGCTGGTTTGGAATACATTACCGAAATGCTCTGGAATCAAAGCCGGAAAGATTGCTGATTTCCGTGAGTGCCTCCCTCCAGCGCAACACCCGGAGATCACCGCCCCCTCCCAACCTCTGCTGGTGTCGTTCCATCGCTTCACCATATGTGCCTCTCTGACGACGAACTTCAGACGGATCTATGTTATAGAATATGGGAACAACCACCTGAGCTGCAGATCTTAGACGCCCCAGTATGCTCAGCAGTTCATCCAGACACCATCTGGAAGATGCATAATCTGGAGACAAAATTACCAACGCAATTCCTGATCTTTCAATTGCTTGCAATAATGAGGCGGAGATCTCTTCTCCCCTTTGAAGGCCTCCATCGTCCCTAAAAACATGGATTCCTGACTGTGTTAGAGCACTATAAAGATGAGCAGTCAAATTAAGACGAGTGTCTTCGCCTCTAAAACTCAGGAACACGTCGTAAGTCTGCGAAGAACTAGAAGAAGAAGAAGCCATGGCTTATTGAGGGAATCAGAGAGGAGGGCAATCAAACGCGTCCACGGATCGATCACAATTCATCACAAGATATAGAATATCGATATGGCGTCCACGCGAGTGTGAGTCCCCAAGTCTGAATACAAACAAGTCAGTCGTCAGTCAATTATATAAATATATATATATATATATATATTTTGGTCGCCAGAAGTCGGTCGATTATAATTGGGTTAAGTTTTTGTTTAGGCTTTCTTGGGAAATCAGCCACCCAAAACGCTAGTGTAATCATCTATAATTTTATGCTTCGTCGAGGTATCCAAAGTTAACCATAATTACTTGATACTTCAATTCAACTAAATATATTGTGGTGATCTCATAGCTAGGCTAGCTATACAAATTATTGTATGCAATCCTCCGACATCGCAGTTGTGTTGGGCGGAGTCCATACGAATGTGGGGCCTTTCACTCCTTCAGTCAGTGACATGTTTATTTTTATTTTAACTTTCTTTTCATTATATTAGGTTGTGAGAAAAATACTTTGCTCAATATGTTGATCTTTAAATAAAATACAAAAAATAATTTCATTTTGATTTGACTTTAATCCTTAATTTGATGGTTTCATTTTTTTATGCAATTACTATAAAAATTGGCTAAAAATTAAATAAGAGTATCATTGTGTTGTAAATGTTATACCTTCTCTCTCATTTTTTCTCCCCTCTATCTAAACACAATGAGGGATAATATTAATGAAAAGACCTCTTTTTAATACATAATTATGAAACTATTTTTAAAATGATAACCATGGTAGAAAAAGAATTGAGTTAGAGTGTTAAAATACTACCATGGTTATAAAGAGTTTGACTTATTTCGAAAACGTCCCAAGTAGCTCAGGATACATAAAACACTCATGGGTTTAACAACACGTAGAACAAAGCCTCAGGGCACAGTAATCGCCCACAAGCCCAACATAATATTCATCTCGCAAAGACTTAGGGCACAAGAGACATAGGGTGCTCAACCCAGCCCATAAGGCATACACATAAGAGTATCACATACAGCAGAGTCTTATGGCCTTCAGCCATTTTAACAGCATTCCATCAAATAGAGTCATTCAAACAAAAGAAAGTATATGTCAACACAATTGTGGGCCCTAAGATGGCAATATACATAACATTACATGCCTAAACCAAAAAAGGACTACTAGACTATGCTCGCCTATGCCTCTGGTTGCTTCCCTTCACGCCGAGCCAAACTAGATGGCTCTCCTGAAAAGTATTGATGAATAGCGGGGTGAGACGTAAAGTCCCAGTAACCAAGTATTAATTTATGACATATACAAGTAGGATGGCAAGTTGGTGAAGTAGTGCTTAAATATAGTTTAAGAAATAAATGGTACTGTAATAGATATAATCACATAAAAAGAGTATATCTCTCCATCCACAATACAATTCATATAAAAGTACATATATGCAACAACACAATGAAATATGCCCTCCCATCACCTTGCTCTTCCTTATGACTCCTTGACAAGGACCCGGGCTTTTTGTGCTGAGTAACCCGGTCAAAGGTCACCCCACTCACATCAAGCAACAAGCCCCCTCCTATACCTACACTGCCCAAGAATGGACTATGGTGCAAGAGGTGTCTACCCAAGAGTTCATTCTCAATTCCGGGCCAAGGAAAAAGAAAAACTACAGGGGTCTAACAAAAAGAAGTCAAACACTGGGATCAATAGTGTAGGCATGCCGCGCGGGCTTCAAGAACAATTATCCTCCACATAACAAAATCCCAACCTCCACACATCAACCCCATGCATAATCACAATATATGTGTATATATATATATATATATATATTAAAAATCTCATAATTTTTCAAAGTAAGATGATATAATTTCAAACAAAGTACGACACATTTTCATCATTTTTTTTTTCACTAACAAAATATTAGTATATTAAATTCAGCACCACAAGAAAACAAAATTTACAATAAAGCACAACTCAAGCATACTTAAATCAACATACTTCCCACTTCACCAAAATTTGTCATATAAGAAAATGTACATTTTATTCACAGGCATAATTTTACAAATTAACTTGAGAAAATAAAAATATAATAAACATCTTACAATCCAAAGCATGTATATAAAATAAATTAACCCCGGTTACCTCTATTCCAAGCTTAACCTCACAGCTTGAGAAATAAGAGCATAAATTACAAACTCCGAAGTACAAGATAATCTACAAATAATATAGATACAATTTAATATACATACAAATAATTAACTTAAATTACATAGAATTTATTATTAATAATATCTATACATATATTTACTATCCAAAAATTCTTACTTCAAATAACATTTTTTTTCTCTACCCAAATAACTCATTTAAATTATAATTATTTATAAAATATTGTTTTTATCTAATATTGTAAGAATCTCAATTTATAACTTAAGTTTCCAGTTTCAAAATTTTTCTAATAATATAGTCTTAACCTATTTTACATTTTAAACCGATTAAAATATCAATAATATATTAAGTAACCCAAATAAGTTATTTAACTTAAATTTAATCGGTAAAAACATTCTATATATCTTGAATAATACATTTTCCAATCAAAATCTTAGTTTAAAATTCTCAAAACACTCAGTAAACAAATATAAACCGATTAAAATTTCAATAATATATCAAACAACCCAAATAAATTATTTAACTTAATTTTAATCGGTATAAATATGATATATATCATAAATGACAGATTTTTCAACAAAATAAATTTGATTTTAAATATCATGGGTAATAAATGGACAAATCTAAACCGATTAAAATTTCTTAATAATAAATCTTTAAATTTCTACAGTCAAATATTTTCAAAACTCAATACTTACTCTATACCCAGATCATAAAATTTTCTCTAAACATTATAATGATACTACTAATATAAAGCTCTAAATATATAGGAAATATTCATAGAGAAAAATTTAATAGAAAGAAGTGTTTAATGTACCTATATGATCCCCAAAGCTTGTATGACTCTTCAAACTGCTAACACTTCTCTTCTTTTCTCTCAATCTCTCCTTCTGCGCATCTCACTCTTTCTTTCCATTCTTTGCGATCACTCTCTCTTTTTATTCTTCAAATTGCCAACCATCCTTCCTCGATTTTTCTTCATTCATTAATGCTCCCTCCATATTTTTCTTCCTTCAGTCAAAAACTCCCCCCAAATTCCTCTTCCTCTTAAATACGTTCAGCTTTCGGTGGAAAGCTGAACGTGTTGTCCCCTTCCCCCATTTTTTTTTTGTTTTAATAAAATATTATTATTTAATAGTAATAAAATATAATATAATATTTTTTTTTTGAAATAATAACTTTTTTTTTAAGGATGTTACAATTAACTATCCACTTTCTCCTCCCCTGATTTTCTCTCCATCTAAACAAACTTAGTACTACCTCTAATCCTAATTATAAGAGCTAGTTGACTAATTTGAGGAGATTAAAGAAATAAGTTAAGTTAGTTATTTATAATAAATAGGTGTTGTCTTTCTTAAAATATCCTTGCTAATTAAGTTTATTGGCTAGAACTACCATTATTAGAGGGACTACCTTAAAAAAAATGCATAAATATGAAAGATAAAGTAGATTAAGGTCTTATAATTAAGACCAAAATAAAAATCAAACGAGGTCTTATATTAAGGACCGAAGGTAGTATTATTCTTCTTGACATGGCTCCCAACGTATGAAACCACCTCATTCCTTCATGCATCAAAACTTCCACAGTGATAAATCGTAAAGTATGATATTCTCCTTAGGCGAAAAAGATTTTTTTTTTTGTGAGCAAAAATTCAATAGTTGATGAAATTAAATACACTTTATCATTATCTTGCTTAAAAGGGTCGATAATTATCTTTTTCCCTTTCTAAAAATTACAGCACGTTAGAAGCAAGGGGGTTATGTCACAAACCGAAATCAGTTTTTGCAACAATTTTTTCAATAACCTGCCACGCTTAGAACACCATAAATCAAGTATTATCTTCTTCACAAGAAATTGAGGCCCAATACTTAAAATAAGCTCCACTGATAGCTCAGAGCGAGATGCAATACTTCTTTCTTTTTTCAAGCAAAAAAAAAGAAGGAAAATTATATTGAAATACTAGAAACACAAGTCCAGAGCATAAAGCAGTAATAGAAATCAAAAGACAAAAAAAAAAACACTAAATAAAACAGTACTAACAAAACAATCATCCATTATCACAAACTCCTGCTCGATCTGAAATTCTGAATCCAATAAAGTTCGCAAGGGGATTTATCTGATGTGAAGATTGCCTCATTTAATGATTCATTAATAGTAGAATCCATAGCTGTAGCCATAGTCAAACATTCATCCATCAAAGCAGACTCACAGAGGAATTGAATTTACCACATATTTTATTAGCACATCTCTTCTTGCTTCAGATAGCAATTTCTTTTGCCATCCTTATCTCTCCCCCCCCCCCCCCCAAAAAAAAAAAATTTATCAACAACAAAGTCCAAAGCTTGAGCCCACATAGCTTCCTGGAGCATCTACAAATCTATCTGTAAGTTCTGTCCAATATCTTCTTTTAACCCGCAAGCATGCCTGATTTCTTATCATCTCCCAGCTGCTTTGGAAGAAGTTCCCTGTGAAGCCATAAGGTCCAGGCCCTTGAGTTCCTCCCATTTCATGAACAGCAGCCTTAACTTCATCAATAAACGCATCTATCCTCAACAATTCATTGATTTCTGGACTGAAAAATCTCTGCTACTTGATGAGGTTGAAAGGTCTTCCATTACAAATTTACAATCTTCAAAAACCATTGCAATTCCCCCTTCTGTCTCCAACCAGTTATCATCATCAGCCTTCATCAACTTCACAATATTATTTCTGCATCTTCTATGAATTGTAGTCATGTGAAAAATAAAAAGGTATTTTCAGCCCAATGAAGTTCTTCCTGCTGCCAAAGCTTATTGGTTTTATTTTTCAGATCAGCCACTTCCCTTGCAATATTATCATTCCTAGGACCTCGTCAATTTACCAATCAAATCATGCTCACATTACATTGCATGAGCAGAGACACCATAGAACAAAGAAAAATTTATTAAGGAGGCATTTACTTGATTATATGATGGGTAGTGAGGCATTTACTTGAAAATTTTAATTTACAATGCTGAAGGAGGATTATATGATGGGAAGTGAGGTATAATTAAGATACACTTTAATTAATTTACATAAACTCGCATCGTGATTCATGTTTATGCTTGAGCGGAAGAA